TTTGCTTTGGCACGACAGCGCCGATACAGGCCTGGCATAAATTTTGCAGCGTTTTCATGCATTCATGTGGACGATCACATTTATTTTACGTCTCCGTCTTTATGACAAACGTTCTGGAAAATATTAGCGTTTCGTGTTCGTTTTGACTTCGTGTGGACGGGGCCTCAGTCTCCCTGTGTCTTCTTTTACTTTTCTCTCCTGCCTCTAAGCGAGGGGCTGCTCTGTGTGATTCACCTTCTGGAGCTCAATGTTGGGCGGGGGTTTACAGCACTGAAAATGTACTAATTGATCTTCTTACCTTTAAATTGTTAACTTCAGGACATCGTAAATTGTAAATATATCAACCTCTTATATTTTAAGCTTTCCTTTCCAAGGTTTACCTCCAAAAATCACAGAAACCTCGACGACAGTTACATAACGACAGGAACGAAAGATAACCAAAACCAAATACTTTCTAATAGAAATGATCTAGACCAGATCATATTTCTTGATAATCTGTTTATACTGACACATAATAGGACAACTATTTTACACCCAAGACAGACATTGAATAAACAGCATACAACAGACAGACACAGAATATAAAATACACCTTTTGCTCACACTGTGTATACAATTTGACCTCGACGTCTAACGTGAGATCCCTTGGTGCTTTAAACTATTTTTCTATAAGCTACAGTGAACCGCCTTCTGTTAAGGAAGTGTGTCCGTCAAAGAAATGCGTCCGTCAGTGAAAAAGGAAAGAAAAAGAGAAGAGAAATTTAGAGAAACGAAAAAAGAGATTAATAATAAAAAAGAAGAGAAAAGAGAAAAAATATATAGTACCTTCTAGTTCACTCCACCTCTTTAGAATTAGACAAACAAGTTGCCTAATCTGGGCATCAGCCTCTTCTAGTTTTATGGGGATTATCATTTTATCGTCTCTCTCTTTCCTTTTATAAGAGAAGAGAAGGAAAGAGAAAAACCCCCAAGAGTTCGTTTCAACTCGACCCCCCTCGCTTTTTCTCTCCAGTCTCGGTTTTTCATAAATGTCCTAATGGGAGGTATACTTGCAAACTCTAGCCGTAATGTGACTGGTATCCGTCGGTGTGTTTGTTTTTCAGAAATGCATCTTTCGTGACTGCAGGCAGACCGGGAATAAAATCACCGTCCCGTTTCTGCATGCAGAAACCGTTGGGCTCTCCAACCAACTTTATCCCAGTGAGCAGTATACTTTTTGAAGGTGTTTGCACAGGGGCCTTCAGTCGGACTTTCAACCATTACCCACAGCAGAACACACAACTTACTTTTTTTTTTTTAATGTGTACACATTCGCAAGGTAAAAAACAACAAAACAAGAACCGCAAACAACACAAAACAAAACAAAAAATAAATCACTCTGAGCAATTTCTCTGTCCTCTTTTGCATAAAAAGCTTCAGCTCACTTCAGAAAAACACAACACAGCCAAAGTGTTTTAACATTAAAAACACTGGAGATATTTTGTAATAAGGAATATCCTCACCTTTTCAGTTGTTTCGACCGCAGGCTGTGAAGCTTTTCCCGTCGGTGGCTCTGTTGTTTTGCTTCCAGGTCACGGGCGGAAACACCAATTTGTTAAAACGAGAAGGATTTGTCCCCTTGGAAGGAAGGCTGTAGAGCCCCGGGGTTCTCCTCACCGGTTCTTTTCCTGGGTGCAAGTTACCGTAAATTCTCTAATATAGGCCCGGGCCTTTATTTCACTCAAGTGCATCGCGGTCCAGGCCTTTATTGGAAGGAGGCCAGAATTAGAGACAGGCCTCTATTGCTATTTGAGCAAAACAGACTACCAGTGGCATGAATAAAAAATGAGATTTTGTGTCTATTTGAACCTATAAAACACTAGGTTCATTTATTGAACAAGAACAGTTACCATAACGGTATACAGAAATTTAACAACAAATAGCCTACCTGTAATTCAGGCTAAATTCCAGTGGAAAAAAACGTAGCAAACATACCAGTAGTGCAACTAGTGCAATGTAAACACTTAACCATACATGGTGATAATTAGGCTGTTTTATAACAAAAAGCAACTTACAGGTTTAGACATCTCCTCGCTCACTCAAATTGTCTCGCTTGGTGTGAAGTAAAAAAAAAATCCTCCAACTCTGTTTAATCCTCCTCCTCAGTTTCCTCCTCCTCTTCATCTCTCCCTGTATTCTCCTCATCACTCGCGCCAGTCTCTATCACAAGTTCATTATTGTACAGTTCCTCTTCGTCCTCCTCATGTTTTGCTGCGTGTCTGTTCTCTTCCTCGCGCAGACGGGCAGCAGTCAGGGCCTGTCGTCCAGCAGCGCAGGGCTGTGGTATTTGTATGTTACTACCACAAGTATAATGTTGAGGTATGCCCAGAAAAAACGTTTATAGCCCCGGCCTGTATAAGAGACCGGCCATTATTTACCTCCGCCATCAGCGAGACAGGCCATTATTAGAGACCCGGCCACTAATGGAATACAGGCCAATATTAGAGAATTTACGGTATTTACTACTCTTAACTCAAACTGGGTAGAACCATATAAAAAGGACTATAAAAACAGGAGTAAAAAATGACAGAGTTTATTCCAGATCAGGTCGTTACAGAACAGAGAAAAATGCTTAGAGCTTACACTGCTGTGGTCTCAAAAATCATGTCCGCGAGCGTTCGGCAAAGTGTGAGCCCCGAACAAGGTCATCTCCTGCTTCTTATAGCTCATGGGTCTATGTGTTGCATCATGTTGATGTTGAGCTGGCCGTATCAGAAACTGACACGCCATCCATGTCTTGAACTTCATGCAGCTTGCTTCTATACTTCAGTGTTACAGATACAGATAGCTCTCCTATCAGACCCGCTCCAAGATGTGTCCATATCCTGTGTATTCTTAAAGACACGAAGGCTGTCTTGATTAGATGACCTCCGTACACACTGTGACATCCACAATGTGAAGGAAGGCCTTCTGCTCTGTCTAATCTAAATAACAAAATAACAATGCACATGATGTATAAAAGAATAAACCTAACATTTCTCTCTCTCTCTGTGTGCATGTTGATACTTTCACTGTGTTAGTCATTCGTTGTGTTCGCCTGTCTGCTAAGCTCAAAACAACCGCGCCTGGCTTGATGGAGAAACCAGGAGAACAGCTGAGCATATTTACGACAGTGCACTTTTACTTTCACCCTCTGGGGGGAGCCTTGCTGGAAAATCAACACCGGTTGCATAGTATACCTTTAAAACCAGTCTAATGCTGGTCCTTCAATTCCAACAAAATATTCAAGTCTTTCTAAAAGAAAATATTGATCATCTGGATCAAATGCACCACTGAGACAACTCCTTTATGATGTCTGAGTTTCTTCAATCGGTCTGGTCAAATTTCTTCGTTTCTTCTGAGAATCTTAATTTGGTTTGGTCAAATGTCTTTTTGTCTTACTTTGCTCTTCTGAGATGGGAAACCCAGACAAGACTTTGCAGATGAACAAAAACTTGCCTCTTTTAACGTGTCCAGAATGGGATTCTGCATTTCCATGTAAGGGACTGAAAGTGATCGCCTCATCATCCAGGCCTTGCAGTCCCTCCTTCCTCCAGTACAGTCTAGACTTACCAACTACAGGCCCCAGCTATTAAGGGCTAAACCAACAGTTAAGGAAGTCATAGACATCATCATCTGCTGGCCTCTGGGAGGCTTTGAAACATTCGATGCAGGTCCATCAGATTCTTCAACTGCTTCTTCACTGAAAAAAATAAAATAAAATACTGCATATTTGCACCATTTGATTAATGCTTTGAACTTCCATATCAATGTTTTTTTACATCACGTTTTTTTTCCCCTTGCTGTTTACTAGAGACTGACACGAAAGTGGATTTTCATTCCTGTCCCGTCCCACTCCCACAGAAAAAAATTGTGTCCCAACCCGATCCTGGGCCACAGTAGAAATCTAAATCCTCCCACTCCTGGTGAAATTACTCCCACTCCCATCCCGCTCCCATTCACAATGACTCCCGCTCCTGCTTCACTCCCATTCTTGTTTTTTTTTTTTTTTTTTTTTTTTTTGAGCGCGAGTGAAAAACTCAGAGAGGAAGCACTGTTGGTTTTTGGGTCGTGTAGTTTTTTTGACTCGCATTATAGTGTAGGCTTCAAGGAAAAAAACTACAAAATGGCGGCGCAAGTAGTGGATTTTTTTTTCTTTCTATTTTATTTTATTTTTTGGTATCGATCCTAGTTTTTTTTTTAGTTTCTATTGGTTTGCTCCCGCTCCCGTCTGCTCCCGTTAATGTTTAATCCTGTACCGTCCCAATCACGTGATTGTTACTAATACTGACTCCCATCCCATGGGAATCCCATGGGAATCCCGAAAAAATGTCATTCTCTACTGTTTACACTTGATCACTGCTGCACTTTATGGGATGGAAATGTTCATTTACTGTCTGGAAAGCTGAACTAAATGAAATTTCATTTTGTATACACTCTGTGTACAGAAAGCAACAGGTGTTGTGTAAATCTAACAACTGAATTCTTGTGTCACTGGGATGTTTTTATCACTGTACTCACTTCATTTTCTGGTTCAAACTATTTTTAAAGGGAATAAAATGTAGCCCTGTTGCCCTGCTGATAGCTTAATTTTTAGCAAAAAAATGGGAAGGCTTTATCATTTAAACCTGTTCTTCCTCTTTCTTAACACAATGTTAATTTTTAATACAACAGAGAAATTCCATTAGAAAATTATTTAAAATCTGCTCAATCTGTGACATAGTGAGCTGGGGTTTGTCTCTTCCAAGCAGAGGTGTACAGGAAGCTCTGCTGAGGGTAGGGTGTCTCATTATTCCCTCATTTGCCAGACAGTCACCGTGGTGTTGGATGTAAATGTTTTACTTTCTTTCATAATTATTTGTGGGGAAAACAAAATTAAGCCAGATTGAATTTAATGTATTCAGGTTGCTTGACAGGATCAACTCGCTCCTCAACCTCAAGGAGAGAGTTTGGTGCTTTTATGTGAGGTGTCCTTTATTTAATCACCAATAGAAAGTCTTTCTGCTGTTTGTCTTTCAGACTGCCTGCAGAATTATGTTGGAAAAGAGGAGGATTTCTCTGACCAGCAGCTCTATGAACAGGAGAGGAATTCCAGTTTGGACCAAGAGGAACCAGAAGCTCTGCAGATAAAAGAAGAGCAGAAAGAACCAGAACATCCCTGGACAAAAGAGGAAACCATGGAGCTCCCCATTAGTGAGCAGAAAGAGCAGCTTGTTCTGAAGGAAGAGACGGAAGAGAAACCCTTCCCATGTTTTACATGTGGAGAACACTTTCTTAAAAAAGATCATTTAATTGATCCAATGAGAACTCACACAGGTAAGAAGATTTATAAATGTCTGTCCTGTGGAAAAATGTTCATAATGTAGACTTGATAGGCTCCTCAGAATTCAAAGCCTCCTACAAACCTCTGAAAAGCATTGCTGTATTATCCATGGTTTTATTTTTCTCTATATTTCATTTTGATTAAACCAAGATTGTCTCCACAGCCGCCTTTACTAAAACAGGTGTCAATTTGTGACACTTGATCATTAATGTACGAAAGCTTAGAGAGCAACAGGTCAGGCAATTCTCAGCAGGCATGCTGTTCTTCTCATTATACCGGTTCAGCAAAAAGTTAAAGGGCTATTCCATCTCTTTTCTTAAAATCTTAAATGTTGTTAATCTGATCTTCTTTAAAAATTATAGCAATCAGACGCTTCTAACCTGGCTTATATTATTCCAAGTTGGGCTGGGCGATAAATCAAATTAAATTATTTCATGTTTTTAAAAGTCCACAATTTGACATTTTGCTAAATCATAAAATCGAGGAAGCCTCTTCTTCTGCATTTTTTACTTGCACGTTTGCTTCTCTTCCTCTTTCCTCCCTCCGCTTGATAACATCCTGCACTGTTTACTCACGCTATGGCCGCTGCTCAATCTGAAGATTTGTTAAAGAGAAAAAGGACTCGTGTTTTATCGATTATTTGGAAGTTGTTTGGCTTTGACAAGGCCGATTTGGAGATGTATGAAAAGTAGGTTTGTTTTTTTACAACTACTACAGACTTTTGGTCCAATTATATCGACCTAAACTAGGCTCTCAGCAGCTGCTGTTTAACAAACCACCTACTTGTCAGAAGTTCAATACAAGTTGACTGTTTGATAAACTATATATTTCAGCAAATTAAGCTCTTTTTTTCTTGCCTTTGTACAGAATATTTTTTTAGCCATATCGCCCAGCCCTAATTCCAAGATAAAAACAGAATTTTTAAAACTCCCTCTTTGTTTTGTGAAAGCTTTTTCTCCCTTGTGAAACTTCAATAAATAGCCCTAGAAGCGATATATATAGCTATTTTTTATTTTAATTTTTTTTTTGCATCTGGCTCCAGCTAAAACAGGAGCATTTGGAGCTGTTCTGAAGATATTTGTTTTTTTTATATCCAAGTAACAGCTTCCTATGGGTAACGAGTTGAAGGCACAAACTAAATTGTTCATAATTTATTCTTTATGGTACGCCAGCATTCATAACATGTAGGCAAATCACTTGGATATTACAAAACTGAATATCTTTAGAACGGCTACAAATGATACAAAACTAATATAGGTGAGTAGAACATGATGTAATAATGTAAAACCAAGGACCCAATGTAAGAAGAGGTGCATTATACACTGCCTGGCAAAAAAAAAAGTCACCACCAAAAAAAAAGGTCACTCTAACACTTTGTTGGACCACCTTTAGCTTTGATTGCGGCACGCATTCGCTGTGCCATTGCTTCGATAAGCTTCTGCAATGTCAAAATATTTATTTCCATTCAGTGTTGCATTAATTTTTCACAAAGATCTTGCATTGATGATGGTAGAGTCTGACCGCGGCGCAAAGCCCTCTCTAGCACATCCCAGAGATTCTCAATGGGGCTGAGGTCTGGACTCTGTGGTGGCCAATCCATGTGTGAAAATGATGAGTCATGCTCCCTGAACCAGTCTTTCACAATTTGAGCCCGATGAATCCTGGCATTGTCATCTTGGAATATGCCTGTGCCATCAGGGAAGAAAAAGTCCATTGATGGAATAACCTGGTCATTCCTAGTCAGTTGACCTCATTCTTTGAGCACATACTGTTGCTGAACCTAGACCTGACCAACTGCAGCAACCCCAGATCATAACCCCGCCCCCACAGGCTTGTACAGTAGGCACTAGGCATGGTGGGTGCATCACTTCACCTGCCTCTCTTCTTACACTGATTCACCCATCACTCTGGAACAGGGTAAATCTGGAGTGGACTCATCAGCCACATGACCTTCCTCCATTGCTCGACAGTCCAATATTTATGCTTCCTAGCAAATTGAAGCCTTTTTCTCTGGTTAGCCTCACTGATTAGTGGTTTTCTTACGGCTACACAGCTGTTCAGTCCCAATCCCTTGAGTTGTTGCCAGCTGAAAGATAATGGCCCACGCAGTAATTATCCAATAGGAGGCTCGTACCTATTTGCTTAGTTGAATCCAGGTGGCAACTTTTCTTTGGCCAGGCAGTGTATCTGTTTATAATCTAGCTCTAAGAAGGTTTGCAGTCTAGCTCTGCACTGAGGTCAGCAAAGACAGAATGCTAGATAAAGAGCTGGATCAGACCAGAATGGGATGGAGCTCTGGCTTTCTAAAGTGCTTCTCCCTTTTATTTTGGCCTTCTGTGATAAATGTGTGTGCATACCCTTGTTTGGGGCTTATCCATAGGGAAAGTGGAGCTGGTGACTCTACTGCTCTGAGAATGTTGCAAATACCCAGTTCCATCCCCACAGCCTCCACTCTCTGTCTCTGAGCAAGACCCTTAACCCCTAATTGCACAGCCAACTGCTGCCCAAGGGGATGGGTTAAATGTAGAGGTAAAGTTCTCCATTATGAGATCAATAAAGTAAACAAATAATAATAATCATGGACAGTTCAGCAAAAAAAAAAAAAAAATCTCACAAATAGTTTGAACATTTCTTAAATGGTTAAGATTCTGCAGCTAATCTGATTTTAAAGCTTTGATGATAAACATATAATCTGTTTATATGTAGTTAGGTCAATGCAAGAATGATTAAAGTGAAATGTCCTTTCTTTAACCTACAATAGAAAGTCTTTCTGCTGTTTATTTCCAGACCACCTTCAGGATGATGTTGGAAAAGAGGAGGATTTCTCTGACCAGCAGCTCTGTGAACAGGAGAAGAATTCCAGTTTGGACCAAGAGGAACAAGAAGCTCTGCAGATAAAAGAAGAGCAGCAAGAACCAGAACATCCCTGGACTAAAGAGGAAACCATGGAGCTCCCCATAGGTGAGCATGAAGAGCAGCTTGTTCTGAAGCATGAGACTGAAGATACTGGAGATGAACCTTTCCCATGCTTAACATGGGGAGAAAACTTTCCAACAAAAGAACATTTATTGGATCACATGGGAATTCACACAGGTGAGAAGCCTTTTGAATGTCTGTCCTGTGGAAAAAAATTCAAAAAGAAATATAATCTTGATAGACACAGCAGAATTCATACAGGTGAGAAACCTTTTCCCTGTACAATTTGTAAAAAGAATTTTACTGAAAAGGGTAATTTGACCTCTCACATGAGAATTCACAGAGGTGAAAAGCCTTTCTCCTGTACCATTTGTAACAAGAATTTTACTGTAAAGTGTACTTTGACTTCTCACATGAGAATTCACACAGGTGAGAAGCCTTTCTCCTGTACCATTTGTAACAAGAAGTTTAGTAAAAGGAGTCGTTTGACTTCTCACATGAAAATTCACACAGGTGAGAAGCCTTTCTCCTGTACCATTTGTAACAAGAATTTTAAAGAAAAGAGTAAATTGACTTCTCACATCAGAGTTCACACAGGAGAGAAACCTTTCTCCTGTACCATTTGTAACAAGAAGTTTGCTCAAAGGACTAATATGACTATGCACATGAGAATTTGCCCAGGTCAGATGCCTTTATCCTGTACCATTTGTAACGAGAAGTTTAGTAAAAGGAGTCGTTTGACTTCTCACATGAAAATTCACACAGGTGAGAAGCCTTTCTCCTGTACCATTTGTAACAAGAATTTTAAAGAAAAGAATAAATTGACTACTCACATCAGAGTTCACACAGGAGAGAAACCTTTCTCTTGTACCATTTGTAACAAGAAGTTTACTCAAAGGAGTAATATGACTATTCACATGAGAATTCACACTGGTCAGAAGCCTTTCTCCGGTACCATTTGTAAAAACATTTGACTGAAAAGGGTAAACTGACTTCTCACATCACAGTTCACACAGGTGAGAAGCCTTTCTTCTGTATCATTTGTAGCAATAAGTTTACTAACAAGATTCATTTGACTTCTCACTAGGGCTGCAACTAACGATTATTTTAAAAATCAATGAATCGGCTGATTATTTATTCGATTAATCGATGAATCGGACAAAATTTTTTTTTTATATTAGCCTCTTTATTCCAAAATAAACATTTTAGACAGAACAAACAAGCACACAAGTACAGGTTGCTCATTAACTGTACTGGTGCAATATGAAAAATAAATGTTTGTGTTAAAACTACGCAAACTTACATGAGAAATGTAGCTGTACATCCACAAAATATAGGCTACTTTGTTTCATAAAGTGCAAAAAAAGACATTTTTGTTTTTAAAAGCCCCTAAGGGGTTCAAACAATAGGTCCCCCCATTTCAACAAATGAGGTTTTTTTTAGACTAGAAGAGTTCTGCCTTTTAAGACAGGAAAGTATAGCAGTTAAAGTTGCTACTTGAGAAAATACTGAACCATAGAGATAAAAATAGCCCTGTGATTCAAATTATAAATTGTATTTGGAATAAAAATGAGAGAACTAGGGGTGCTAAAAAAACACATCCTCCAAAGACAGATATTTACATGGTAATGTGGCAGATAATTAATTGACATATTACTGATCTTGCTGGATTTTATTCTGCTTTACTTCCATAAATTGCAGGATCTTCTTTACTTTATCTTTGCCAGAAGATTTAAACTTTAAAAGCCTTGCCCTCATAATTTGCAAGTTAATTTGTTTATAAAGAAAATAGAAACGCTGCTTAAGCTAATTCAAATGAAATTAAAAATAAAATAAGTAGCCAACCTTATCACTGTCTGTAACCTACTAACAATGTAAGGAAAGCATCAGATGAGCTACCTGAGAAACTAACGTTACGTTTCCCCACTTTAAAACCAAACAAACATGGTGCTTCCGAGCCATGCCAATTTGTTTTTACAAAAGTTGCATGTTATGACTTTTTTCGCTTTACAAAGCGCAGGATATTTTAATTGATCAATTTGCGCCGTCAATCCCGGCGCATGCGCGCTTCATTTGCAGTCTGGACGCTGAGGGTGAACGGGGTTGGGATGGGGGAGGCGCCCCACGGCAGCAGCTGCCGCTGGAGGACAAGAGTATGAACGACATGTGCTTTCACGTAAGAGTCTCCAAAAGCCGCCAGTGACACCGTAAAAAGTCGCCAGATTTGTCGCTACTCGCTTTTTTGAAAAATTGTTGCTGGAGGGGTCTGAAAAGTCGCTAAATATAGCGCCAAAGTCGCTGAGTTGGCAACACTGCGCACCTGCGGTGCTGGCTCACTCTGCCATATTTTTTCTTCTTCCCCCGTTTCAGTCAAGTGACAGTTATGACGACAGCGGCGGATGACGCATTAATCACGCGACACAGCTAATCGATGATGACATTTGTTACCAACGCTTTTAAAAGTCGATTTTTATCGGTTATATCGATTCGTTGTTGCAGCCCTACTTCTCACATGAGAATTCACACAGGTGAGAACCTTTTGAATGTCTCTCCTGTGGAAATAGCTTCACCTGTGTCTGATCTTGATAAAGACAAGGTGAGAAGCTGTTATCCTGAATGATTTGTGACAAAGAGTGCTGGCTCACTCTGCCATATTTTTTCTTCTTCCCCCGTTTCAGTCAAGTGACAGTTATGACGACAGCGGCGGATGACGCATTAATCACGCGACACAGCTAATCGATGATGACATTTGTTACCAACGCTTTTAAAAGTCGATTTTTATCGGTTATATCGATTCGTTGTTGCAGCCCTACTTCTCACATGAGAATTCACACAGGTGAGAACCTTTTGAATGTCTCTCCTGTGGAAATAGCTTCACCTGTGTCTGATCTTGATAAAGACAAGGTGAGAAGCTGTTATCCTGAATGATTTGTGACAAAGGTTTTAAATGTGAAGATAATTTCAGTATTCAGATGACATTTATTCATGCATGATCTGTAATGATTTATATTTTTGAAAAAAAAAACAAAACGTTTCTAATAAGTCCCAGCAGTTAGATGCCACAGGAATGAACAGTAGAGGCGTTTTTCTTGTTTGACTGTTGATAAAATCTCCATCCGCCAACTCTTCATTACATGAGAAACTCACCGGTTAATGGTCTTTTTTGATAAATCTGTTAATTAACAGCTCTGTTTATATAGAAACTAGAACAGATAAGGTGTTATATTGTGAATCTGGTAAATATTCAGGTCCTAGGTAAATATGTGGATTTAAACATTTGAAACGTAATAATTTTGGGCCTAAGTAAATTAAATTTAAACGTCACCTTAACAAGAAAATAGATGTTTAAATTCCCAGTTTCTTAATTTTTCTGGAATAAAGGGAATAAGCATAATAAAGTGCAACAACACCTTGGTTACAGATGAATCAAGTTTTCTGTCCATACAACAAGCAATTGAGAAGTTATAGATATTTAAATTGAAAAAAATAAATCCAGACGGTCCCCTACTGTACCATTTTGACATGGTGTGGCAAAACTTTTTCTTAATGAATTTATTCCGAAAAAAAAACTTTTATTTTATTAACTGAATAAGCTAAAAAAGTTTTGCTAATTCAGTATCTTGTTGGCTTTCATTAGCAATGCATCAATCAGCCCTGCTACGTGTGTTGTTGAAACCAGGCCCACCAAAACTCCAACTGTTTTTGGCACAGTGTTAGAGCTATGGTCAATAGATATTAGAATGAAGTAGATCATCTATAGAGGAGTCTCAGATGAAGATTTGGGACATATAGAAGTGTGTGTCAGTCTCAGAGTTAGTCAGCTACAAGCTAATTAATGTTGCAAAGGGGGTGCTGGGATTATGGGGTTAAACTACGGGACATCAAAGAACTCAGTTTAGAGGCTGGAGTCTGTAGTTCAGGTAAATTGAAGTCCTAAAATGATGAAACATGTTTGTTTAAAATGATAAACAGGATTGATGATGTTGATGTTATTTTTACTGATCAGTTTGAACCTGCTTTAACTTGGTAAAAAGCCTTTGTCTTAATAATGTATTAAAGAAATCTGACTCTCCTCTAGAAGTGTGAAGATTTTTTAAAAGTATAATTTTCCTTTGAACTAATTCTAATAGTTTTGTTCTTGATTCTGTAGATGTTCTATTTACCTGCTATGATTGAAAGTAACTATCACCTATTTTATACAACTGATTTTATGGATTATATTCTGCTGTGGATGTTTTTAATTATTGTAATCTCTTCTAAATTGATGAACGAGCAGCAATAAAAACCTCATGGATCATAAAAATGTTTCTTTATCTGATTTCATATAAATTACAAACAATCTTTTTCCCTGTTTTCTCTGAAATTTTCAGTCAAACTAAAACTGTAAAATAAATAGTTTAAGGGCATTCACCTTCTGTCTTCTCCAGTCTTTCCTGTTGCTCCTCCATTTGCAAAGCTGGATCATTAGTTTCAGTGTCTAATAAAGGTGCTTGAGATCTCAAAGCTCACATGGACACAGAAAAACCTGAAAAAGCTCTGCGAGGTGAGAGTTATTCTGCAAAGCTGACAGGACAACACACATTACATCTCATATGTACAAGTTTGTAAATTAATGGAGCAACAGAAAACTTTTTATAAGAAAATGCTACAGCAGCAGGAAAGTAACTTCAAGGCTTGTTTGAGTGTTTTGTTGGATAGTACAAACTGTGGATGCTATTCTAAAAGATCTACAGGAATTAAAAACTGGTCTACAGTACACACAAAAGGAAGTAGATGATTTGAAAGCTCTTAACACAACTATGTCATCCGATTGCAAAACTACTCAAGAAGACATACATAAGCTGGCCGAATCAATGATCATTATTGATGGCAAAATGGATGCCTTAGATTCTCAAGCCAGACTTAAAAATGTCATAATTGATGGCATACCTGAGGAAGATAGTGAAAAATCGCTCGATTCTGAAAATAAGGTGCTGGCTTTCTTTAAAGAAAAACTGGATCTGGATCCCAACAGCATAGGCATTGAAAAATTACAGCATCTTGGAAAACTAGACAAAAAGATACAAAACACCGAGCTCGACCTCTGATGGTGAAATTTTGAAGGTTTAGGGACATAAATGCTGTGTTACACAGCTCGAAGAAGCTGAAAGGATCAAACTACTTCATAAATGAAGATTATCCTGTCTCAGAAAAGAACTGGTCCCCCAAATGAAAGCTGCTGGAGAAAGAGGGGACATTGCCTTTTTAAGGTATGACAGGCTGATTGTACACAAAAAACACTAAAGGATTAGAAAATATCTGCAGTTAGAACATCATGGCTGATACCTAGTATGGACAATTTTTCAAATAAAAGCCTAAAAGTTGCTCACCTAAACATATGTAGCTTGAGAAACAAAGTGCATGAAATAGAAAATATTCTGAATATTAAAGGAAAATTCCAGTTTTTAACACTTTTAGCCCATTTTCTGTAGTGTCCAGGATGCATTCGAATGATCGACACCAAAATGTTGACAATTGGTCCTGTCTCTGCTATTTGGCTCATGCAGAATCCCCCCCTGGCTGCTTCAGAATGGCTTCCATAGTGCATGTCCGATAATGTCCTTAAAACAACCTTAAACGTTCTTTTTTTTAAATATGCTACTCACCGGGTCGTCAGCGCTGTTCAATGACGTTCCAAAAAAAGTTTTGTGAAGAAAAACCGTTCCTGTCTTGTTTTATTTAGCATTTTGTAAATCCCAGAACAATTTTTTTCCGATACATCACAACCGCTTATAAACTTCCGCTTCCCGTTTGAATCTGAAGCGTTGCACACTCCAGACCACTAGTTGGCGACAATGTCTCTATATACTCCTCCTCAGTATATTCCGGTTCAAAACGGTATCCTCTACCGTCAAACTCAAAGTCCAATATGTCCTCCTCAAGAATCTACCTTTCGTATTCCATTTTCAGAGTTTTTTAAAGTGTTTCACAGAGACGTTAGCACCTCGACGTCGGAGTACACAGAGTGAAGCGAAAAGACTACAACTAAGTGTAAACAGGCCCCATTTCCGTTTCCGGTGGCGGAGGGATATTGACTATTCCAACAGAACTCAATGGGATTTACAAAATGCTAAATAAAACACTACAGGAACGTTTTTTCTTTACGAAACTTTTTTTGGAACGTC